AGGTGGTGAGGCAGAGGTTGATGAGGTCCACGATTCTGGGTATTTCGATCTGGGTGTATTTTGTTAAGTCGGGTGTGTTGTGCAGTTCTGATGATATGGATTCTTTTTCTAGTTCTGGGTTTATGGACGTAAAGAGTGCTGTGACATCAAATGAGACCATAATTTCATCTTCATCTGTGTACATCTTTGATCTTCTACCAGAGGAGCAAAACAACCCCCCCCCCAACCACCAGCACTAGCAAGGCAGGCCACAGCATATAAATAGAGAGCAAATTTTTAGCCTTTTTATCTCTGTAAGTGTGGTTTTTAGAACTTTTAATTATGTATTTCTGATTTTAGTTTGTTGTAAGCCGCCCAGAGTCCCCCATTGTGGGGAGATGGGCAGGGACAAGTCTATTAAATAAAATAAATAAATAAATAAACCCCATCTCATTTTAGCACTGCAGATGTTACCTAACCAGGTAATGAAACGTTTGCAAGAAAAGAACCAAGCTCAGAGAACCCCAAGGACTCCACTGCGATAAAGACTTCAACAATATGTGAAATGAGAACTACCAAAGGTACGCACTGGATTCAGAAGGAGAGGCACTTGATTTAATGAATAATGGAAAAGGAAAGAGAGTTTCACACAAAGGCATTTCTTTCTTTATTTTTTAATTATACTAAGACTTTTTCCTGTGTAGATAACAAACCACAGACTGCCCTTGGTAAATATGTGTATACCAACTATGTAATGAAGAATGTGTACGTGGAGAAAACAATAGTTGAAATGGATTATGGAGCAACTAAATGGTTCAAAACTAGGAAAGGACCATGCCAAGGTTGTATACTGTCACCCTGACTATTTAATTTACATACAGAAATATCATGAGAAATGCTGGACTAGAAGAAGTAGGAGTTGGAATTAAACTTGTGTGAAGCATTATTAATGGTTGGAACTGAGGAAGACTTTAAAAATTTCTTGCTGAAGATGAAAAATGACAACACAAAAGCCGAACTGATGCTCAATAGTAAAAAATAAAATAGTGTAAACTGCTAGCACCAGTCCAATGCAAACAGGTGAAGAAATAGTGGAAGCAGTAGTCATAGACTGGGCTGAAGTATCCAAGCAATGGTGACTCTAATAATGAAATAGAGACATATGCTTCTTGGGAGAAAGACTGTGACAAACCCGGAAAAAATATTAAAGGGTAGAGACATCTCACTGCCAACAAGTGTATTGTCGGGATCATGGTTTTCCCAGTCTTAATGTAGACCTGTGAAAGCTGGCCCATCAAAAAGGGTGAACAAATAAAAAATTATGCCTTTGGATTTTGGTGCTGGAACAAATGAGAACTGCACAGTGTCACCAAGTGTCAGAAGCAACTGAAAAACTGAGTAACAACAAAATACTGAACAATTAGGAGAGGCTGCTAAATTTTATTCTGTATTTGGTTGTGTAGCAATTGGAAAATTCATTACGAAAGAATTAATAGAAATAATAAAAAATTAAAGCAAAGTTCTATATATAATCTGGGACACTAGGACAATACACAAAGGACACAAATTAGACTAAAAGGTATTCTTATGCACAAAAACTGGGAAGAGAAGTTCTCCAGAGTCACCATAAATATGTTCCAGATGAACTATGTCCCATTATTTAGGGAAAGCTGTAAAATTTCTGAAAGTTTAGCAGCAAAAGAAAAAGTACCTTTTTTTCTTAGAATTTAGAAGGAAAGTGGAAAAATGGGTCCCCCCCCCCCATCTTTCCTCATTCATTTAATTGTGGAGAGAAAATAAAAAATGGTCTTGAGAAAACTGAAAACAACTTCTTTCTCCCAGACTTTTTATTGCTTCTCCTGGCTTCAGATCACTACAGAGTGGAGGGTGATGAAAGGTAACGAAAAATTACCTTGCCACTGCTACTGAAATCTCAACACGTGCAATGCAGACACATAAGGCACATGTCATTCAGCATACTACCAATGATTTATTATCTATCATGGATAATTCACACTGAACTACTTGGGATCTCTGATCCATTACAGCATCCAGGTGGAGTGCTAGTAGCTGCAGCTGCTCAAAACGTTTAGATACTAAGCTCCACTGCTTATAGTAGACAACGATCAGACATTTTTATTCACAAAACATTTATCTTACATTGATTGAATATAAACTTTTTAATTGTGAGGCCATTTACTAGTTTCAAAAGACTCCAAGACTTGCTTGATATACTCTTCTCCCCTTCTCCTTTCCTAGCTGTGCTGCAAGTAGAACTTTGATGTTGTGTACAATTAACAGCAAATTGTTATGGGACAAATGTTACTGGGACAAATTGCAGCATTAACTATGTCCTGTTGTAACATACAGGGATACCAACTGGGAACAAATAATCATATACCACTGTTCAAAACAGAGATGGCCAGTCAATTCAGGGTCTGCAGGACACATAGAGACTTCCGAGAACTACTATGTGGCTCTCAAACCTCCCTACGAAGTTTCATAATGATGGAAAGAGTGTTGGTTTTAGCTTTTCCATGGAACAACAAATAGTATGCTGCTCAGATTCTACTTCTGTGTAATTGAAAAGGCCACACACCCACTGAAGCATTCCATGCTATTTTCAGGGATGAGGCAGCCAAAGCCAGCTGGCTGCCACTTCAGGTTGGACGCGTATTTTAATTGTTGTGGTTCTATGGAGGTTCTATGTTTAATAGCTTACTGCCCAATTTAGATGGCAGCACCACTGCTGCATGATGAAAGCTCCACCAAGCTTGACGAGCATTCAAAAATAACCAACACTTAAGCAGATCTCATTGGTTAAATGTACTCTGTAGGCTTTTTACTGTTTTTGCCTTCTTTCTATTAGTAACTGATACCAGAACATATTATGGGAGACAAATTGATTTTTGGAGACTATGCTGTCTATGGTTCACAGTGCCAGAGACAGAATGATATAATTGCAGTTACTAGAAGAAGCTACGCCATAATTGATTTAATCCCCAAGAGATTTAAAATAACCCTATGTGAATTCCAAGTTATTTGAGGGGAAATTACAAGAGAAATAATAAGAAAGCAATGTAATACATGGAAGAAGAATTATCTGAAACAAATTAAAGTAGTTTAATAGGACAATGTATCCACTGCAGTGACTGAAGTAAAAAAACTGTTCACAGACAGGAGCCATAAATAATTACAGTAAGTTACAATTACAGCTTTAACCCTGGCTCTTTTATTATCAATTATTGCTTTATGCATATATACTAAGTAAATAATTAACAAATGCAATAATAATTGTGCTTATTTTTATTCAATATAATATAATTGAATTAAATCGGCCATTGGTTAAAGTGTAATGGGAACACAGGAACTGTACTGACTCTGGCATTATAGTCGAACACAATTCAGAAGTCAACAACTAAAACAAAAGCAGCCTCTGATCAGAGAAAGATTGCTTATATTCCACTTGGCACTTTGGGCTGGTTGAGACAACTGTAGCAGACAAAGGAACGTGGTTGCCTTACATTGCTCTAAAAGTAAAGGGGCCACATGCTTGGCAAACTAAGGTGAGCTATTATCAAAACAAAGCACTTCCTCAAAGATTTGCAGAGCTCTTTCTAGCAGTAAACACAGTGTATAAGAGTGCAGATATTGACAAGTTATAATTAGTTGAAAAGAGAAGCAGATGCCATTTTCTCTTGGAAAAGAAATTTGCACTGCAAAATGAAAATGCTTAGAACTTTAATACTTTCATTCCATCAAATTAATAAGGCTTGGAGTCATTTTCATAGGGATATCTATAGTACTCTTGCAGAATAAGCCATAAAAACATTTTTGTTTACTCTAAAGGCTAGCAAATTTTTATAGCCCAAGTTTTTACAAATTACAGCCAGTTTATCAGATGGATACAGCTACAGACAAAAATTTACTAAACCTTAATGTATTAGTTGAAATTAAAGTTTACTGACCTCACTGAGGTAAATAAAGAATGAGCATGTGGATCCATCAACACCGTAACTTGCATAACAAGGATCAGATCTCCACATATCCTTCATCCACTAGAAAAAAAATGCATATACTGTCAATCAGCAGGTTAGGTTCTATGAACCTGGACTGCAATACTAACCAGACAGTTAAATAAGTCTCAGGCAGTGGCTGCAACAGCATTTTATATCAACAATGCAAGCTTCAGTTATCAGAAAGATAATTGCTATAACCTGTAGGAATTTCACCACTGGTCAAAACAACTTTCATATTTCTATGGTTCACCATGAGCATGATCTTTTATCCACATATGTGGCATGAAGTC